AGCAAAAAATGTCGGAAATAGTAATAAATTTTAGAATAAGTTTAGATTTGTTCAAATTGGTCACCTTTTGCACGAATTATGGCCTTCAAACGGCCAATGAAACCGCTGCCCAAATGTTGCTCTGCGGTATTTTGGCCCATTCCCGGCGAAGCGCTTGCTTGAGGTAATCGACACTTTGGTATTTTTTGGTGCCAACCTTGTTTTCCTAAATACTCCAGACACAATAGACCAACGGATTGGTATCCGGAGATTTTTGTGGCCATTGTGCGCTGGAAATGAAGCGAGGAACATCATTTTGTAGCCATTCTTGGGTGGCGCGTGCTGATTTCGATGGTGCTGAGTCCTGTTGGAATGTCCAAGCTCTGCGGCCAAAATGTTTGCATGTCCAAGGCATTAATACACCCTCCAGAAAATTTTCGCGATAATATTCGGCATTTATTCTGATGCCACGGTCGATTACTACGAGCGGAGAGCGACCATCGGCTGTTATGGCGGCCCACACCATCACCATGGCCGGCACTTGAGCTCTAGTGGCCAACCGAAGGTGCACATTTTCAGCTGAACTCTTTGTCATGTAAACACGATCATTTTGTTTGTTTACAAACTGCTGTACATCGGAGAAAACCAAATTCGGCAGTTTACCACTTTCGGCCAAGCAAAGCAAATCTTTAGCTCTTTTAAGTTTATTTTCTTTCTGTTGCGGTGTAAGTATTGGAATTTCAATGGCTTTACCCCAAGCTCACTTTTCAATATTTGTCGAATGGAATATTGCGATATGTTCAGCTCACGAGCCATTTTTCGGCAACTACGACGCGGGTTTCGATCAAGTCGCTTCTTTACTTTTCGAACCATTTCTGCTGATGTTGCTGATTTCTTCCGCCCACTTCCTTAACGTCGGGCTACGCTACCAGTATTACGGTAACGAGCGATGGTACGAGACACAAATGATTTATTCACATATAGATGCTGGAGTGCTTTATATCGATAGCCACTTGTGGTTTTCCAGACAAATATAATGAAATCACACTTTCACGCTTGAATTCCATCACGAAAAAGTTTTTTTCTGGAAAATTCTCACCAAAATGCTTTTGTACGCTTGTAAACAATATAATGAGCTGTCACTGGAAAAGTTTTAACAGGTGTCGGACGAGTGGCTTAGAAATGATAGCAGTCTGAAGTTGGTTGCAGTTTTTTCATCTCACCCTGTATACTACATGTGTATGTTAGAACCCTATTATATCATTCCACCATTATAAATGATATTTGACACGAAACATCTTACATAGCCTAGAAATACTTCTATTACATTCATTAAAAATTGGTTAAAATTACCTCTCAAATATATACATATAGATATGACTCCGATATATAATTCAGTCTGAAGAACAGGCGAAATGCGACGCAAACGGGTTGGATACGTGGTAAATGTCTGTATATACTTGATCTCATCCTCATTCAAACTATGGTGGATGATATGACACGCATTTAGTTAGGCAAAATATAAAATTAACCGTCATTAAAGGCATAACATTGTTTTGAATTATCGAAAACATAAGTTTTTTTGTATTTAAAGTGTTATAAGTCATCAACTAAATTATCAGATGCTGTTTAAAAGCGTTTACTAAAACATTTAAGCTCGGCCTGTCTACATGGCGTGATTTCATTCGATATTTAATGTGCAATTTGTAATAGCCTTATCTTTGCAAAAATTTAATTAACTTTAATTGGTTGTTTTGAAATAAGCGACAAAAAAATAAATTATATTACTTGTTTGTAAATTACATTAATATATTCATATTTGTTTTTAAAATTAAATTAACAACTGTCACAAAAATTACATGTAGTTCTCCGTGATTGCATAGGGTGTCTGACCATAATTTTATATTTTTTAATCGTTTTTTAATTCCGAGATTAACCTACTGATGCAATAGTGAAGAATATAGGTAGTCGAATACAGGTAGTGTAGTAGAAGAATACAGGTCGTCGCATCGACACAGCTGCTGGGACAATGAACTGTCAAACCAAGTATGGAATTAAAATTTTTTGAATGAAAATTTATTGCAATTTGTAAAAATTGTTAAAAAATACATACCTCCGATTTGATTTCTCTACCCACCAAAAACAATAGTGATTACTTTTAAAGGGCATCCAAAAATGTACTCACATAAGGGTTGTTTACATCGAACGCATTTTTTAAAACGCGTGTTTTATATTGTCAATTGTTTTTAATATACGTCAAATAAATGACGAATCACGATAAAATGCGTAGCGTAATTTAGGTGTCGATGTACAGCAGGTTTTACGTGTGTCTCATTGAATCATATATAAATTTTAATTTGGTGTCTTGTTATATAATTTGTTGATCTTTATGGACGATTAAATGAGAATATCTGTATATGGAACGCAAAATTTATAGTCGATTTTGTTACTTGTGTAATTTTTAAAAATGAATTTAAAGCAAATTAAAATGTAGAGGTTTTGCCGCAAGAACAATTCTATTTAAAATGGTTTTTTGTATAGCTCATATAAAAACACCGTCCGATTTTCTTTTTAAGGTTTGACCCATGGTACAATAAAAAGGTAAGGTAGAGCTCCTAGCTGATTACAATTTTTTTTTTTCTAAGTGTGCCCGACTTCTGCACATTTTGTGTATGTATTTGTTGTTTTGAAAAATAAAAACGAAATATTTTCAAAATCAATGATTGGAAGAAATTTAAATTGCGGGGCGCACATTAATAATATTAACGAGATTTGCCATGGAATTGAAAGATTGAACACTTAGGATCATATTTTTGAGGGAACATCCAGGCATTTCATTCACCTTTCGCGCCATTTGACACATTTTAGAAATGACCAACAAATATCAATTAAATGAAAACAACTCGTTGCCTATAATTTTTAATAATTCTGACAGGAAGCGGGCGTAGTCTCATGGCTGTATTTCTGTAGTTTTACGAAGCTGTTCTACCTCCTTATTGTACCATTGTTTCATGGTTCAATGAAGAGAAGGTAGGTCAACTTTGAAAAAATTACAAGTATAGAGGTCTACCTGTTTGGCTTGTAATGTCAGAATTTGTATCAAAACAATAAAAAATCAAAAAACTTGTTGCATTTATTTTGAATAAATACTTGAAAACCGCGATAACTGAATGAAAGGCCAGCACTTCTTTTCAAAATCATGTACTATATATCTCTAAAGGATTATTTCGCTACAAAAACTCTAGATTTTGTCGATGCATACGTTGAAATAAACATTTTGAAAACACCCGATTTTGAATGTTTTCTGAACAATTTTTTTGTTATTGAAAAGAAAACACATACATAAACAAATATAGATGACATATTAAGCCAAGAAAATAAAAAAATTGAAATCATATGGTATCATAGCCCTACCTTTATATCATTGTACCATGCATTGTTTGGTCTGCAATTTATAATAGGTTCGTTCGTTTACTTTCCCAGTAACATTTACTCAGTAAGAAATTACTGGGAAAATACGATTTCTTTTCTCTCGAGAATAAAAATTGCAAAAAGATAACAAAACAGCTTTAACGGGCATCGCAGCAGCAGAAATATTTTGATGCAGTTTTTTTGTTTGTTTTTACATTTTCATTCAAAAAAAGAATAAATAATAAAATAAAAACTTATACCATTTCCATTCACAAAAATACCTAATATTCCTGCAACTTTATGGGCAATGGTGTTCTACGTATGGACAATTTTTTTAACTGGATTTGCCACCTAAATGAACGAAATAGCTCAGATAGATTGGTTAATTTTGTTTGTTTACAAAACTACTGAACAACTAATGTTCCTGGATAATAGGTGTGTCTGGTTACTTTCACAGCAGGAATTGTCCAGCAATATCTTTCTGAGAGAGTGAGGTAGTTTTATTCTCTTTTGTAAGGAAAATGCGAAAAGTAAACAGACGGTATTCCTGCAGAAGCTTGCAACAAATCAGCTGATTTGTCAAAACAAACCAATTTGTCTCCCATTAGAAGAATTGAAAGAAAGGAAGCAAAACTAACTTTACAAGTCTTATAAATAAAAAGTAAATTAGCAATGAAATAAAAATATGAGTAAAAAAAGACAGATTTTATGTGTTACCGGGAATCATATAAACGTATTGATAATGGCGTTTGTCTAACAGTATGTTAACATAGAAACGGGTTAACACACTGGACTTGAATTAAAATTGACATATCCATTACCTAAGCTTCAAATAAATCCTCTTAAATTACGTTAAGCTTAAAAATAAACGTGTCATTGGAAGGTTGGAAATAGTCTTTTATTTTCTTATTAAATATTAATATTTACGTTTTTCGCATTTTGTAAAGTTGTTCTCCAAAAACAATTAGTTTTGTTAATTCCAAAAAAAAAAAAAATACTTTCAAATTGAAAGCACAAAAAGAAATAAACAACCAATAGAAAACATCTGATTGAATGTTGATGAATGAGAAGAAGAAGAGTTGCAAGTTATTGCAAGAAGAATTTTGTCCAGCAAGAATTTGCAAACTCTCACTTAAAGAACTGTCAAATTTTCTCTCTCCAACCGCTCTCTTTTGCGGAACTTTCGGGTTAACAGACGACTTCCAGTAAAAATTTGTAACAATTGTTACAAATTTTAGGGTAACTAGACACACCTTATATTCTTCCCATTAATAGCAATCTTTATGAAAATCATAGCCGTCTATCATGTATTTGGGCCCTTCAAACCGACTACTAATTATAGGCATTTAGAATAGATATAAGCATATTGAACTACATATTGATCAATATAATCTGTAGGTCTCCCCACCCTTTTCAACACATGCATGTTTATTTGAACACAACAAACATAGCTGAGTGTCTATGATATTTGTCTGCTACGAATTTAACACCATTTCATATTTGTTTTAACAATTACCGGGTTAATTGTTATTTAAAAGTTTTTACCTGTTAAGCTAGTTTTGAATACGCTGAACAATAACACCCATCCTTATTTTTTTATTTATTTTTAGCGCATCATTCCAACACAACGCAACAACATTGGTGGTGAAAAAAGTCTCGACATACATACCTACCAGTGAATGTAAATCCCATAGTCATCCACTTTAAACAATTAAACAAACAAACAAAAACAGTAATAATAAATTAGTTATCCAGCATCGCTTGGCAATGACGGTGGATTCACAAAACCAGCAAATGTAAACGGCAAAAATGGTTTCGAGTAACCACAAATCCCACACTGAAAATATGGAAAGTAAACAACAACGGCATCAGCAGCAGCAGCAGCGTCATCATCAATCAGTGAGCTGTGACATACTTTTGAATACTTTTCAAATTAAGAAGAAACGCTACAAAGTACTACTCAACTATGATCACCTTGTGTGGGAGCGATCGGATGCTAAACACTGCCAGACCATCAACAATTCAGGGATAAACGAGAAAACTTTGACTCCAACAGTAGCAGCACAAGGTATTAATGTAGCTGCAGCTCAAAAAGGTGAGTTACCGTGCAGCAAACCCTTGCACTCATGATACTTACCATAAGAATGGGGGGAGAACAGGCACAAATTGTGTTAGATTTGTCACCACGAGCCTATAATTGCTACAGTGGAAATTGTAACAACAAAATAATCATGATATAAATGACAAAGTTCATGCTAAGCTGATTGTCAAACATTAATCCATTGAGGCGGAAAACTACAGGTCCAAAATGGTTTAACTTCATTTTGTTTATAACTTTGTACTTTCGGTTCTAATAGGTTCTGAACATAACATAACATTACTTTTACTTCAATTTCTAATTTTATTTCGTTTCCCACTTATATTCTCCAGAAGCTGAATATGAACGTGAACAATTATCTCAACGAGCGAGTTATGGAAATTGCAGTAATGTTGTACACCTACGTGAAGTGATACGAGTTTCCAAATCGACCACAGTTCGAAATGCTCACAATCCCCTAAATGAAGGAGGCGTAAACTCACAACCATCACAAGGTGCAACTACTCCTAAGGATACATTTTTATCAATCTATTATGCCGAACGTATTGTTGCCTCACCAACCGACTGTAATCGTTGGCACATTCGACGACTCACGTTACACAACAAAGATCCCTACATTGTGGCAAAATGGTTTGACAATTTGCAGAACCTCGTAGAGAATTCAAGGCAGACGCGGATCAAACGTTTGCTAGTTTTCATCAACCCGTATGGTGGACGTAAGATGGGTCTTCAGGTCTATGAACGTTCCTGTAAATCGACATTCCAATTGGCCGGTATTGATGCCTCCTGCATAATTACCCAGAGAGCTAATCAAATTCGCGATATTCTTATGTCGCATGATTTGACACCGTTTGATGCAGTCTGCTGTGTTGGCGGTGATGGTACGGTAGCTGAAATGATTAATGGCCTCCTAATGAGATCGATGCAAGATGCCGGCGTATGTTTACGACGACCCGACAACATTCCAAAACCCAGTTTGCCGGTGGGCATAATACCGGCCGGCAGCACAGATACTGTGGCATATAGTTTACATGGCACCTCTGATCCACAGACAGCAGCTATTCATTTGGTGTTGGGCAGAAAACGTGGTCTAGACGTTTGTAGTATTCGAAATGCGGATGGTATCATACGCTTTTTCGCCAGTACCATGGGCTATGGCTACTTGGGAGACGTTGCCGCCAAAAGTGAGAAATATCGTTGGATGGGTACAAAGCGTTACGAATACACAGGAGTTAAATCATTTCTTTTGAATCGAGGCTATGAAGCTGAAGTGAAAATTCTTCTCAATGAGGATGAGCCAGATGGCGGAGATGCCACCACACCAGAAATTATTTGCAACGTTAATTGTGAAACATGTAAACCAGACTCATCAACAGACATTGACATGGACAAGCCTTCGTCATCCAAGACATCCTTGCATTCTGATCAAAAGGTTGAAACTAAAAGGTCCAACCATACCCTGGACTATAAACATTCCCAGCCACTCGGTGGTAACAACTACTGTGATATTCAAGATTCCACCAACAAACAAAAGAATCCCATTGTTGATAGTAGCGATGTTAATCTTGCCTTGGAAGAAAGATCAAATTCACCCAGCAGTTCATCATTGTCGAACAGCGACAATATGCAACAACAGGAACAATACGAATTTCCTTCAAGCGAAGCCCAAAGTAATGGGAACGTGCCAAAATGGCGCATTATAAGGGGTGAATTTTTTATGGTAACTACAACGAACATTACATGTGCCTGTAGCCGCAGTCCGAATGGCATGTCGAAATATTGTCATTTGGGCGATGGACATTTGGATGTTATTTTGGTGCGCAAATCGAATATGTTTAACAATTTACGATTTGCCATCAATACAATGGCTCGAAATGGTGATATTGTAAGTACAAAAAAATAGGATATTTGTAATGTGTTTTATGTTTTAATTGGTGTGTTGTTTTTCTTATTCGTTGTGTAGCGAACATTGCCCTTTGTGGAGATCTATCGCACAAAACAATTCATCTTTAATGCCAAACCAAATATGACGCCTCAGGACTATAATAGTATACGCGGATCTTGCCAGCCCATTGCCGATTCGTATGCCGAAGCTGAAACCAATTTGCCAAATAACATTTATTCTTCATGGAATTGTGATGGTGAAGTAATTACAGATTTGGAAATAACATTAACGTGAGTATATCCCTGTCCAAGATTAGATTAATGGTGATCGACTATCGCCTTCTAATATCAAAGTCTTTACACAAGGCTGTTATTTTACACGGCACCGTCCTTCTCCTCGGAAATTCTTTACATTTTAAGGAAAAACAAGTAAAGAAGCTGTAAGTTCGGCCGGACCGAATACCCCCACCATTTGGAACGAATTTGGCAATTATCAAAAACAATAAAATCCGTTCAAAATTCTGTTAAAATCTTAAAAATACCGAATGTAGCTGCATAGGTAACTTTTGTCATAAGCCGTCACAATATTCAAATGCGAAACTTAACAAAATCGGTAAATAATGTAGCTAAAATCATCAAAATATCATATATCGATAGTTACCGTTATATGGGGGGCTATACGAAGACGTGGACATGAACAGACAATCTCCTGCCATAGGCTGTAGCATCCATTACGAACATCAAATACCAAATTTGAAACAATTCCAGTGAATAATCTCGCTAAAATCAATAAAGTACCGAATATTGGGGGGTACCGTAAATATGGGGGCTATACGAAGACGTGAACCTGCACAGACAATTTTCTGTCTTAGACTGTAGTATCCATTTCGAACTTCAAATACCGAATTTGAAAAAAATTCTGGCGAATAATGTCGCTAAAATCTTCAAAATACCGAATATCGGGAGGTACGGCTATACCAAAACGTAAACCTACATGGCCTACCAAAAGTCCTGCAGACATAATATACATTTGAGTAAAATTTTATCAATCTACTTCATTTCGTTCGGAAGCTAGAGTGATTTCCATAGACGCATGGTACAATGAATTCAAGGTAGGGCACAACTACCATATGATTTAAATTTTTTATTTTTCTGGCTTAATATGTCAACTTCATTTGTTTATGTGTGTGTATTCTTTTTAATAATAAAAAAAATGTTCAGAAACATTTTTCAAAATGCTTATTGCAACGTATGCATCGACAAAATCTACAGTTTTTGTCGCGAAACAAACCATAAGAGATATATAGAACATGATTTTGAAAAGAAATTTTGACCTTTCATTCAGTTTTCGCGGTTTTAAATTATTTATTCAAAATCAATGCAACAAGTTGTTTGTTTTTTTAGCCAAACAGGTAGACCTTTATACTTGCAATTTTTTTATAAGTTAGCCTACCATGTATTCATTGTACCATGGATAGACGTACACGCGGATGGACGGACATCGCTAAAGCGACACAGAATTTTATGCTGATCAAGAATATATACACTTTGTGGGGTCTAAATTGTATATTTCGAGGTGTTACGAACGGAATGACAAACTTAATATACCCTCCATACTATGGTGGAGGGTATAATTAAATGTGTAAACTTTCAACCAAAAAACAAAATGACCCCTACACCCATAGGATCCGTACCAAAAAAGAGACCTATATTGATAGCTTTTTCCTCATTTCCTTTGTTCCAATAGGGAACTTGAAATAATGGTAACTACTAAACATAAATCAGATTTCGCCAAAATGGAGTTATATCAAAAAATTCATTTTTCGAATACATGTGCGAAATTCCCAATACTTTTGAAAATCTTTGTCTTAATGCAATTGTTCATGTTGAACACTTTTCAGGTTTTTATGCTAATCTAGCATACTTTTCCCACAGACACATTTAATGTGTTTAGTTTGAATCAAATAAAAACATTTATTGATGTACATTTTATTGCCATGAAAAATCAATTTTCTAGTTGTTTAGAAATTCAGCTGAAATATATCCATTTTAATTATTGCAATAACCGTTTTGTTTTTTTTTTTTCAGTTCGCATAGGCAATTGATTGATGTCTTCATGCGGGGACCCTATATTTACAGTAAACCATCGAAGAACTTGGAAAACAACTCAATTTTTTGTTGCTGTCACTCGGATTCGTAAAGCACGACATGATGAGCCATTACGAGGGGAGAGCAAATCTAAATCCATGAGCAACTAATAATTTTATTTAAGTATAAGTAGAATATTATTTATGTGTGATACATATTAAGGCTGTTTCGTTTATTATTATTAAATCGTAGATTTGGTTAATCAGTAAATTAGACATAAATTATGAAAATACGGTGATTTGGGTTTCCTTTGCTTTATATGTAAGTCTGTTTGTACGTTTATTCACAATGTTACTGATTCTCAAAGAAGAGGGCACACAACAAACTGTATTATTTGATATTATTGGATTGTTTTTATCTTTAAACTTTCAAGAAACTTTAAACTTTATTGCGAACACTGATGTATGAGAAGGTCTATGTTTACTGCAATTGAGCATTCCTATATATATTTTATTTGGTTTGTTATTTTATTTATGTATGTATATCACTCTTGATTAATAGAAATACAAATGGTGGACACACTTTAACAATATCCAAAATAAATTTGTTTTTATTTAAACTGTTTATTATTTCTTCTCTTAAGTTTTGTTGGTATGACCAATAAAATGTTCAAAATTTGTATTCATTAACCCTTTTGGTGTTTTTGTCAAATACGTTTGACATTTTAAAGTACTCTCTTCCTTTGCGATTTTTTGATCTTCCTATATACCGTTGTTTTTGATGTTTTTTGATTTTTTTTCAATGACAGACACGTGTGCTATTTAAAAATATTGCAGTTCTCTTACATTAGTTTAGGATTCGAATTTCTGAGCGCATTTTCGTAAATTAGTATGGGATTTGTGAAAACAATGTATTTTTGAACCAAAAATCAGATTTTCTGCAATCGCAAAATATCGGAAAAATATGTGAATATTGTAACAAGTGTAAAAACCCCATATAAAAAAGAAAAATACAAACATTGTGTATTGCCTTTTGGAAACATTTTTGGGTTGTCGAATATAATCGATATTGGCTTACAGTAAATACACGTGTACTGGCAAACTCAAGTATTTTTTTCTTAATTTTCCCTAGAAAATGGGATCATGATATCATGAAGATACTTGAAGAACATTCGGATGTTGAGGATGCAATCGAAGATGATGACAAGGTTTGTTTTGACGTGTCACAAGTGTGAGCACAGGACATTTTGCCTGGGGAAGCAATATCAGAAGAAAGTATTGATGAAAATCGCCATACGTATACGCTCAAATGTAAAATAACTTGGTGTGCAGTTCGAAAGCCAGAAGATCACGAAGGCATTGCCAGGTTCTGACAACACAAACATATTTGGAATTGGGACGCCGTTCTCATATTTCAGTAAATATATAACCGATCAGCTCTTTTCGAATGCAGACTATTATATAACTATTTATTTACATAGCACGGGACAGTTGTCTGTCAAATATGTTGCCAAAAATAGATTGTCATGATGGAAAAATATATATATAGATTGTTATTATGTAAGTGCTTTGTCAAAAATATTAAAATCACAAATATATTTTTATTTCTTGAAAAAGTGATTAACCTGTTTAATTTATATTAAAAGCAACTAATTTCGTCTTAGTTCTTCAAAAATGAATAATGTTTTTGATTTAAGTTCTGTAAAATGTTTTATAACATTTTATAAAAATCATAATGAATACTATTGCATGATAAATAATATTATCAAAGACATATAATATAATAAGATGGGACATTACATTGTTACTTACTCATTATTACGATATCTTGACATAGCATTATGTTATAATTTAACAGAGCTGACACATTAGTTGTGTTCCAGAACCTGCAAATTAGTACTAATTAGCACTAATTCTGCTACAACGCGTTCCCGTACTACAAAAACTAGCAAAACTTGCAGCTCTCTCGAGAAAAAAATGGCGCTGAGTGGTGCACATTTCTGCTTGTTTTAGCTACATCAATTTGGCCGAGCAGAAATGTGCATATTGTAAATTTGACATTTAATTGACAGGGCTAACAAGGTTGAAAAATGTATTGATACATTTCAATAAAGAAAATGATCAACTTGAAAACTAAAGGAAAAACTAATATTTGTCGTGCAAAAAACAAAAAGAGAAAATATGGAGCAACTGATGTATTCACTTTTGGATGATTCCAGCAGTGAAGAAGACTGGCTGAATGAGGAATCAGATTATTAATTATTATTATAAATTATTAATTTTAACTTATCGTCTTCAATACTCATTTTTTAAATGTTGGCGCTCTTTTCAGTAAGGTTTCACCAGTCCGATTTAGGCTGTTTACTTTTGGAATTTGAATTTTGACATTTTATCGCATTTCTGCTAATTTTCCGTTCCCTTATTTTTTGAGCAAACCTAAATGAGAATGACATTTCGAACTGTTCTCTCTTCTGCTAGTTTTACTACTAAAAAAGTACTGGAACACAACTTATATGTCTTTGGTGGGACATTACATTGTTACTTTTATTCGGTAGATGGCGTTGGTAATGAAAATATTTTATGTCTTTGTTGTTGGTTTTATACGGGAGTTATTTAGAGACATCTGTATTTGAAAATAAGCTATGTGGCTTATTGCGACATCTCTTGTGGAATAAATTGTACGAAGAATAGATGCCATCTTTTAAGTAGTAGCAGATATCGTTTGGTGACACCCTGTCATCTAATAGGGTGTGTGTCAAAGAAATGTGTTTCCGATGTGTTTACAAAGACGTAGGCGTCGTTCTAAAATCATTTGTCTGTAATGTCAAAAACTAATTTCTTACAAAATCCTGGGCAGTGACAAAAGCAACCTAACTGGCGTGTATGAAGCAGTAAAATACAGCTCGAATTCAAAACAATTTGTCTTGTTAGAACCTAGCTTAAGGTTCTAACCACCTTTTTGAAGCGACTAAAATGCCGTATTATTCAGAGGATTTGAGCTGGGAATTCCCTTGCGTATATCTCAAATGAAATCTACAAGATTTACTCGATTTAGTAACCATAATACCAAAAATGTACGCCACGATTTGTCAGTCATATGGCTAGTTGTACCCTCAGCTGTATGGCTAGTATATGTGATTTTATAGGGCCAAAACTTTAGACCCTACGCATGGTAAAATTAAGAAGGTAAAGTCATTCGAAATAGACATACTCATCTCTGCATTTTCTGTTATTTACTTTGTCAAAATTCACTGCATAGAAATCTCATCTCACCTTAACAAGGACATTGGAATTAGACTATAAATAGTCGAGTACTCGGGTTTCACCCAAGTCCATAGCCGAGTTCGAGTTTCAGAATTTTCAGTACTAAAAGTCGATTATTCAATTAATCGGAAGTCGATTTACCTATCCCTATGCCTTATTTTTGCAACGCTGCAAAACAAATTTTGATTGTCATTCCTACAAAAATACAACATTTGTGCCGACTTGCAAATTTGCGAAGAATTTCTAAATAAAACCAAATCAAATATATAATAAATTAAAAATGTATGCCGGCCATCAAGTAATACCTCAGCAATTCTGGAGTAATGGACCAGCACCAGGCCAATTTTATAACTTCACTGGTGGTTACAATGGTCTAGCTACTGGCAGCGCTAACCAATGCAAGGAATACACAACTCCTGGTCTGTTTGGAACACAGCACAGCTCGTAAGTATACCTTATCTGGAATTTCAAATGAAGCTTCAGCTAATAATATATCTTATCCGCAGTTCTCCCATCACTACCGGTACTTCAGTGGTGGGTATTAAATTTGATGGTGGTGTTATGATCGCTGCCGACAACTTGGTTTCGTATGGCTCCCTTGCGCGTTACCAAGACGTTCAGCGTGTGTTCAAAGTTAATAACAAGACAATCATGGGAGCGGGAGGAGATTTTGCTGATTTCCAAAGTTTGAAACGTAGTATTGATCAAAAAATTGTGGAAGACCTGTGTCATGGAGATGATCTTGAAATGAAACCCAAATCGTTGTACAACTGGCTAACCCGCGTTTTCTATAACCGTCGTAGCCGTTTTAATCCTCTTTGGCTGGAAATGGTTGTTGGTGGTTTGGATAATGGAGAGCCTTTCTTGGGACATGTTGACTTACGTGGCCGTGCCTATGAAGATGATGTTGTTGCCACAGGCTTTGGCAAACATTTGGCTTTGCCTTTGGTGCGCGAACAACTAGTTGAGGGAAAGAAACTAACACAAGAACAAGCTTCAGATGTGGTATGTTGTGATCAAATGATCATTGGGAAATTATTTCTTATATTTCAACATATTTTCAGCTCCGCAAATGTATGGAAGTATTATACTACCGTGACTGCAGGTCCATGCCCAAATATTCAGTGGTTGTTTGTACCAAGGATGGCAGTGTTGTCCAGGGTCCATTTAATGTAAACGAAAATTGGCAATTGGCCACAATGGTTAAGGGTTATTAGAAGCTTATTGAAGAAAACATCTTTTTTGTATAAAATATCTTGGAATGTGATTAAAAAATTATTTTAAAAATAATCTTGGCGTCTTTAACTTTAGTTTAACTAACGCTTATGCGAACACAGTGGGTTTGGTATTTTTACATTTGGTGACAATTGAGTCGAAACAAGACAAACGTTTTAAGGACAAATATCTAATTTCAGTAAAAAGTACTCATTAATCTCGATTTAAGCCTGTAAAAATCTGAAAAATGTCATTAAAAAACAGTTTTGAATTACATTGTGGATGTGTCAATACCGCTATTGAATTTTTCCCAACAGTCTTCTAGACAATACCGAAAAAACCAAATTTTTATCTTCATTCAAAAACATTACACGAGGAAAATTGGAGTAAGAGTTGATGTCCAGATACACTTTCAAAATACTTCAAATCCGTCATATTTGAGTTATGCCAAATAGTTCATCTATTTTGAGTATTCTGGACAAAACAGATTTTTCATATAGGGAATCTAAAATGTCAAATTGCAGCTCATTTGGGTGTAATTGTAACATTCAAAGAACCAATTAGGAAATTTCGTTACATGCGAACTATAGAAAGAAATTTGGATTTGATTATTAGATTTACGTATTTCTTTATTACAATGGTTCACTACAATCTAGTCCTTTATATTTATAATACCTAATGGAGAAATTTATTTGTATTTTAATTTGTCTTGCCAGATTTTTTTCCTTACTTGTTGTTTCGGTACGAGATCTTACTTTGGCCAAATATATTATTAACTCTCAAAACTTTGAATTATTTAAAAAAATAATAATAAATTTAACAAAAGAAGAAAACCATAAACTACATTTTTTTAAATAACTGTGGACCCCTGACAAAATAACTTATTTTGAGATTATTTAATTTCCACTTTGTTTCTTTCAACCGTAAGATTTTCATAATTTGCTGGCCAAAAGAAACAAATAGGTTGTTTTGCCAAAGGTCCACAGAATGGCTTATCCAAAATTATATTCCACATAATTTATGATGGAACGGTTGGTTATTCATTTTAGTATGCTGTACTGCCACCACCTTTAGATTTGGTAGATGTATTCTAATATGGATTAATTGAGCATAGTGCGTCTATCATAAATGTGGCGACGTTGTTCTCGTACTTGTCTCTTCCATTTATCCTGTTGATGGCCCACCCGATTTAGAACATTGGCTCTTGAATTCAGTTCTTGGTTAGCTGATGAAGACATAGGGGGAGAAGCAGAAGTAGTATCATCCTAAACGAAAAAGAAAATTTAAGAGATTGTTATTTTTGTAACTTTTAAGCGGTGTGTTGTACTAAAGACTAAAACAACAAGAAACATATGAAAAGTCCAGTTTGTTAATACGAAAACAAAGTTGTAAAAAATGAAACCCAAATATGTGGTTAATAAGAGGCGTATAGATATGAAAGACTTAAAAGGGAAACTAAAAAAAAAAACAGAAACCAAAAAAGGAAAATTATTCTTTGTATGAATAAACAAATAAATGCAAACAAAATCAGTCAGAATCTTTATTGTCGTCTACTACTAATAAACTATATTTAACGTTAGAAAAACGTTGCATATGTACATCTTCATTTGTGTGTTCCTGATAATTGGCCTTGACACGTTTGTTTAGCAAAGGATCCAGACACATCAGGAACAGCATATATATCACAAGAATGGAAATAATCCATATAACAATGATGACCACCACCTGAAAAAGAAATACAAATAAATTTATAAAATAATAGTAAATAAAAGTTATTAGGTATTATGTAGCATTATTCAAATTTAAATATGGACAGAATAAACATAAATTGAAAGTGATTGTATGGCTCATCAAATGCAAATAGTTAAGGTAGATAATTCCCTTTGAAAAATGATATTCATATAAAATGTGGTTCGTATATAATCCGTCAAAATGGAAAAGTGACAACAGAGACCACAGATTGCATGAGGAAAAGAAACAGGGACGATAGAGCACTTGATGTGTCACTGCCGAAAAGGATAGGATCTCCAAGATTGGATTCTTCTCTGAAGAGAAACCAGTGACTATTTTACATCTATCATGAATAATTACCGTGTCCCACCGGCAATCCCACGGCGGCCGGTTCTATGTACCGGATTGACTCGGAGGCACATTTCTCCGACCAGGGGCCGCCAACCCAGCAAATACATGTTCGTGTTCGTCCATTTTTCTGATGTGGGAGCAACATTACCCGGAATGTTTGCTCCGTATTCTCTTGGTCCGAGCCGGGATCGAGACCAACCCCGGACCATGGTTCTGCTCCGTTTGTCGTAATCGCATCCACCACAGATCGGTTTCGGTGAGATGCAACGGATGCATGGAGTGGGTGCATTTCCGGAATTGTTCCGGCCTAAACCGGATACAGGAGTATAGCGATAGGGACTACATTGCTTCCTGCTGCGTCAATGTAGACCCCAGTGAGTCTTCATCTTCGGCGTCCTCATCGTCGTCGCAATATGAGACTCCCCCGCAATCTCCTCAACAGCAATCTACGCAGCAGCTGACGCCACACATTGCTGTTCAAGTTCCGGACAATGCATCATTTCTCCAATTTAATTGTGATGGTCTCAGAGGTAAGATCAATGAAATTGTAAGCTTTATGAGTCGGAAGAACATCAAGGTCGCAGCGATCCAGGAGACGAAGCTGAGTACCACCTGCAGGCTTCAAAGTTGTGATGGATACAACGTACTAAGGAAGGATCGCTCCAGAGGTGGAGGTGGAGGATTAGCGTTCCTATTGCACCACTCTGTCCAGTACAGACCTATCTCGCCTGAGCTTGACTCTAGTGACCCGTACATGGAATGTATGGGGGTAGCGGTCAAGTGTGGAACCGCCGAGGTAGAGGTGCTCAACGTGTACATTCCGCCGTTAAATAGCTGTGCCCCACGTTATATGCCTAATATCAGTTCACTACTGGTAGGCAATAACCGTCTGGTGCTAGGGGATTTCAATGCCCATCATGAATTATGGCATTCCGTCCTAGGTAATGACCAGAGAGGCATGGCGCTGGCTGAGCAAATCGATAGCTCCACGTTTTGCACAGTGAATGAGGACGCGCCCACTAGAATAAGGGGAGACTGCCACAGTTCTCCGGACATATCCATCGTGTCCCCAGGTCTGACGAATGACGTAACTTGGCAATCAGTCATTTCTCTAGGCTCAGACCACCTCCCCATTATTATCGCCATTAATAGACCACCCGACTTCATCGACTCTGAACGCCGCACTTTCCTTAACCACGGGAAAGCTAATTGGCAAGAATTCAGAGAGTATACCAATCGCCGCTTCAGAGAACTGCCCAACCCATCTGATGTTCAGGTAGCAGATAGGTGTTTCCGGGACATCATCAAAGCTGCAGCCGCTCGCTATATACCTGCTGGTCGAATACCTGAAATAAGACCAAACTTCCCAGCAGAGGCAGCGGGATTAGCAAACGAGCGAGATGAGCTTCGCCGTACTAACCCTAATAACCCCAGAGTCAGGGAACTTACTCTGGAGGTAAACAGGTTAGTAGGTGAGCATAAGCGGAAAAAGTGGCTAGAACATCTGAAGCATTGCAACATCGGTACCGGAACGAGTAAATTGTGGGCAACGGTTAAGTCGCTTTCGAACCCTGGAAAAAAGGACGATCGGACATCTGTCTCATTTAACGGCGCAGAAGTGACAGATCCGAAGAGGTGCGCGTGTTATTTTAACCGGCAATTTGTAGAGCACCCCGAGAGTGACAGGGCGAAGAGAAGGATACTACGCCGTGTACGATCCCTTCCAGCCGAGGAGGTACCACCACAATTTACGTTGGCAGATGTTGCACAGGTCATCAGAAGCGCAAAGTCATCCAAAGCGCTTGGTCCTGACGGAATCTCAATGGTGATGTTGAAGCAACTGGATGAACCAGGAGTTGAGTATCTGACAAAGCTTCTCAATCTGTCGTTAGCCACCCTAGTAGTTCCCGATGCCTGGAAAATGGGCAGGGTGGTCCCGCTACTGAAGCCAGGCAAGGATGCCAGCAAAAGTGATTCATACAGGCCGATATCACTTTTGTCACCAGTAGCAAAGACGCTTGAGGCTTTACTCCTCCCCAGCATAAGAGAGTGTTTCCCAGTAGCCGATCATCAACACGGATTCCGAAAATTGCATAGCACAACAACAGCTTTACACGCCATTTCCACACATGTCAGTAGAGGTCTCAACCAGAACAGGCCGTGCGATAGAACAGTTATGGTGGCACTTGATTTATCAAAAGCCTTTGATACAGTCAATCATGCCACACTGTTCGAGGACATTGAACGCACCACCCTCCGGCCAAGTTTGAAACGTTGGATAGTAAACTACATGTGTGGACGCCAGTCGTACGTGGAATTCAGAAACAAGAAGTCGAGCATCCGTAGAGTTAAACAGGGAGTTCCCCAAGGTGGGGTGATATCTCCGGAACTGTTTAACCTCTACCTTTCTGAAATTCCACGCCCTCCAGACGGCATAGAGATTATTACGTACGCAGATGATTGTACGCTCGTGGCGTCCGGACCCATTATTGATGACATTTGCGATCGGTTGAACGCTTACCTTGTTGATCTTACCGCCTTTTTCACTGCGAGGAATATGAAGATATCCGCCACTAAGTCGACGGCCACACTTTTCACCACATGGACTGCGGAGATGGGGCTATCCTTGAATGTGCAGGTCGATGGTGCTCTTATTCCGACCACCAACTACCCCAAGGTATTAGGGGTCACATTCGATAGCCTCTTTAAGTCGTCCGCGCATACCACAGCTATCTGCGACAAGATTAGAAGTAGGAACAAGGTCCTCAAGTCTCTGGCCGGCAGTACTTGGGGAGCTGATAAGGAGACCTTGTTGACCTCTTACAACGCGATAGGCCGGTCTGTGGTAAACTATGCGGCTCCAGTGTGGTCCGCTAACGTCAGTGCTACGCAGTGGAAAAATGTTCAGTCCTGCCAGAATGCCGCCCTTAGAACCGCAACAGGGTGCCTTCTCATGACACCCGTCGATCACCTACATGAGGAGGCGAAGGTCTTACCGGTGCGACAGCATAACAAAATGCTGTCAATGCAATACCTGCTTGGGTGTTATAGACAAAGCCATCCAAATCACCATCTTGTGGATAGGCAACCTCCGCCCAGGCACGTTAGGAAAGACCTTCATGATCTAGAGAGAGAGGTACAGAGGTATAAGAGAGAGCCTCTAGATCAACAGGCCTATCAAGCGGGACTGAATAGTATTCACTCTAATGCGGTCTCAGAAGCCATCGAAGGATATAGAGTGAATACTGTGCTAGGAGACCATCCCCCTCCCGTCGCAGCTGAAGAACGAGAGCTGCCCCGACAAACCCGAGTAGTCTTGGCTCAATTACGATCCGGATGGTGCAGCCGCCTAAATTCCTACTGGGCCCGGATCAACGGCGAAGTGCAGAACATCTGCCCAGCATGTGGCACAGGCCCACATGACACGCTGCATTTATTTCGCTGCCCAGCCAAGCCTACTCACCTAACTCCAGTCTCGTTATGGACTCAACCCATACAGGTTGCATCCTTTTTGAGACTGGACTTAGAGGCAGAACCGGATTGAATTGAGTTAGAAAATGGAAACCAAACGAACACATATGTATGAGCTGCTACAACAACAACAACAACCGTGTAACGATCCTCTTAACTTTTTTCCGAGTAATATGTAGATATATAATACAAAAAATTCTAATATTTTTAACACTATTGATTTTGGCCATTTTAGGAATCCACCCTGGAACAACGCGAACATCGCAATATTTTATATTTGGAGCTACAAATGCCTAAAAATGTACCCCTGCGTAAAAATTTACTCTTATTTAAAAAAAAATTAATAAACGGGTACTTCAGGTCCAGCCACGCATAAGATTATACTGTTACGAATGAAAAATTGGGTCCTGTTTTTGACGAAAGCGAACGGAAAGGAGGATATAATACTTTGTCATTCCGGTTGCAAAAAAATTCGTCGTAGACCCACAAAATATATATATTAATGATCAGTATAAAATTCTAAATTTGGCAGAAACATTTGTATAGTGTCTAGGATGGAATTGGAATTGGATGGAATTTGTCTAAAAATTGGTATTTGTAGGTCGTAATGGGTTCTAGCTCCGGTGGCGAAACTTTGTATGTATAGGTCCACGTTTTGGTATATTCTCTATATAACTGTACCTCCCGAAATTCGGTATTTGATGTTTTTCTAAAAATTTGCATTTGTAATTCATAATGTGTTCTAACGTTTTCCTATAGCGCTCATATAACGATACCCATCGATAGTCGGCATTTTGATAATTTTAGTTACATTTACTCAAGAAATTGTTTCAAATTTGGTATTAAGGAAAATTTGTTAGATGACAATCCTTGAAGCATAAAATTGTCTATGGAGGTTCCCGTTTTGGTATAACCTCACCCTCTTTATGGTTTTTGGAGAAGTTTAACAGCATCATTCAAACGGTCTTACTGGTATTTGCAGTTTAAAGTAGAACACGTTTAAATTCAGATACTTTTATATAAAATGTTTTCTGTACCCATAATTTTTATGTATTTTTACTTGTTTCAATTTAAATAAAAAAATATGAAAAACTCATTTAATATCGTCATTCAGAAACAGACCATGAGTTAGAGATAAATTGCCATAAACATAGTTTAAGCCACATAAAAAACAACAATCGGGACATGTTGCTTTGAAGAAATAAAAAGTATTGCTTTGAGATATGCAAATCAAATGTCTTTGGAAACCTTTACATGTTTAAAATTATTGCCCTAAAACTTTAAAAATTAAATGTTTTTAATGTATCCCTAAAAAGGATTTTCAATATAAGAGGGGTGACTGGATTAAAAACAACATCACTTTCTTTTTTATCAGAAAGCTCGGATGACCTTAAAAATTATTTAGTGTTTGTTGCTTACGTACTTTTATCAATGTAGTATTGCGGGCTTCATGTTTACATTTGCATTCGGGACAGATTTCCAGTTCATTTTCTCCTAATCGCGGCAGGAGTGCACCATCACAAACGCTATAAATGTAAAATATTGGGGGAGTATATTAATCCAATAAGAATGGAAAGATGTGAATGTTGTTGATAATGGTTTGTTATGCATACAGGCATATGCACACACGTTTGTACATACTTGTGAATACAAATAAAAGTCGCTAATTATTTAGCATTTATTAACAAGTTGACAAACTTACCATTTTGGAGCTGTCGTAGAATTGGGTGAAGGAGCAATTCCGGTACTTAATACTTTCGGTAATGGTGTAGCTGTAGTGGGTTTTTGGGGCTCAACTTTGTTGGTGGCATTGTTCGTGTCAGCCTATTATGTTGTAAAGATGGGTTCTTTTTCTGTAAGACCCGATGTAAATACTTGAACTTCATCGACTTACCCATGTCACGCCAATTAGAAAACATATCGCCAACAAAAGTGTGAATAGAAACAAACGTTTATACTCCATCAATTTGCGGAAAATATCTATTTTTTTCGATTAAATTGAACTACTTTCGAAGTGTAACAACAACGAGAGACAACAGACGAATTTGAAGACAAAGAATAAATGGTGATAAAAATGAGAACCAAAATTAGATTCGTTCGAAATGATCACAGAGAAACGATAACAAATTGTCTGATAATCACTGTAAAATGATAACAAATCGTCTCCTATTCAGTGAAAAGTCACAACAGTTTTTTACAGCTGGTTCAAGGCCGATTAAGATTAGACCAGCTGATCGGAGGTGGCAGCGATTCTCGTCCAAGAGAAAATATGGCGCGTCGATATTTTTAGGCAAATTTTATTACAATTTTGAAAACTATTTAGAAAAATATATTTTTGATAAACTTGCAATTAAATTTTAATTCTTATTCTTTTGTGTCGTAATTTTGGCGCCGATGACTAAATTGACGGCGTGTTACAGCCGGTAGTTGTTTTCTGATTAGGTGCCGCCGCCGAAAAATATTGTTAAGCTTCGTGATCTGTCTGCGTATACTTGACAACTTGACGTGTATTATAGTTGTATTTTATGTATTTTATTATTTGCAAACTATAGAAGTCGTAGATATCACAAAGAAAAGTCGAGTTATTCAAGTTTTTGTTAGAAAAATAAATATAATAAATAAACAAACATGAAGTACGAACAGAATCGAATAATTTTAGTGACAATATTTGCAGTTCTATGCAGATTTCCAGCGGCTTTTGGTAAGTGCGGCGTGTGGCGTTTATGTTGTGGTCTGTTGTGATTGGTCGTCTGCGGCCCCTTTTTCCAGAAAAGCCGATTATCTATATTTTTGATGTTATCAATTAAAACGTTAATGATGTAAATCTTTATTTTGCAGCTGCTAAGAAGAATTATGTTACCTGCGGTTCCATTATAAAACTATTGAACTCAGACTATAATATGCGTCTGCATTCACATGATGTTAAGTACGGGTCTGGTTCCGGTCAACAGTCGGTGACAGCAATTGAATTGAAAGAAGACGTAAACAGCCATTGGGTCATTAAGGCATCAACCAACAAGCACTGCGAACGGGGAGAACCCATCAAATGTGGTGACATTGTCCGGTTGGAGCATTTAAGCACACACAAAAATCTTCATTCACATTTCTTTTCGTCTCCGTTGTCGGGAGAACAAGAAGTCTCGGCATATGGTGAAAATGGCGTTGGTGATACTGGCGATCATTGGGAACTCATTTGTTCGAACGAGAGCTGGATGCGTGATGCCCATGTTAGATTACGACACGTCGACACACAAGCATATTTAGCTATTTCTGGGCGAACATTCGGCCGTCCTATTTCCGGCCAAATGGAAGTTGTGGGCGTCAACAATCCCAGTCATGGTACGCGATGGACTACGGCTGAAGGCCTGTTCATTGTTCCCAAAGAGAAAGAGACTGAATACATACATACTGAACTTTGAGACCATCCTCGCCACATTGATGCTTGTAATCGCAATTTATGTGAACAAAACAAAATACCATTGACGTTTTAGTTGAATTATTTCAATAAATTAAGAATTGGAAAAATGTGTGCTCATATGTATTCTGGAACTTAAGATAGAATATGTTTTAGCAAAGTACGGTTATATTCGTTATGTTAGAATACTAAATAAATGTAATGTTTCGAATTTGTACACTAAAGAATTTACGCTAAAAACTTGTCACCGTCAAATATTTATATACGAATAGACAACTGAATCCCGCAAATACTAATTGAGTTATATTATTTTGTAAGTTCAGATTTCAGATTCTGAATTAAACCCAATGTTTCTCTTCCCAAAGTGCTGCAGTCTAAAACAATAATTCCTATGAAGATATACCTGCTTACCATATTTATGGTTCATCATATTTAAATTTAAACTGGATTAAAGTCGATCGTTTTTGATCGGATCATTTAACTTATCCAATGCAGTGGTTAGAATGTTTATTATTATGTTTATCTCAAAAGATCATGAGTGCATTGTGTTCAAGGATGAGAGTAACATTCATCAGAAGCAAAATACTGACAGGTCGTGGATAGAGAATGATTCAGAACTTTTACAGAGCCATGAAAGGTTCTTTACTATTGGATCTATGGGTGAGATTTCCTTTCCAATAAATAAAAATATACAGATTGTGGTTAATGATAAATAAAAAAATAACCACAATCTATAAAACAATAACCACTACTTGGAAAGAAATTTGCAAATTTTCAAAAAGAAAAAAATTGTTGAACATTCTGCTAAAATCATAAAAATTCCTTCCTCCACTACGAAATTCAAATTTGAAAAATTTCCGGTGAAAGTGTGACACAAATCATCAAAATACCTAATATCAGGAGGTACAGTTATGTGGGGACCATCTCCCGAACAAATTAAATTATGTGCAGCTTCTTGTTTACTTAATCTAATTCAGAAGTTTTAATATACCTTCCTTTTCCACGGATTTGTCTAAAACGTGGTATTTGTAGGTCTTAATAAGGTCTAGCTCCGGTGGGGGAACATTGCATATATAGGTTCGCGTTTTCGTATATTCCTTATATAACGGAATCTCCAAATATTCGATATTTTAGTAATTTTTTATCACATCTTTTGTTAAGGAATTTAACTAAAAAATTGTATTTGTAGTTTGTGAGGGGTTTAAGTCCGGTGGTCTAGGTTTTCGTCAACGGCACCACCCCATATTCGGTATTTTGATGGTTTTAGCCAAATTTTCCCACGGATTGTTTCAAATTTCGTATTTAAAGTTCCTAATGGAATTTTTTGGAAATTTTTCAAGTTCCTTTAGAATGGTGGGGAGAATTAAAAGTTAGACCCGGCCGGAATTCAGTTGCTTTTTTAATAGTTTTTACTTTTTTAGATGCCAAGAAAGCAAGTTTGTTGGGTACCGCCTTGTGGCTATAAGACCCTTCAGAACATTTCCAGTCAGAATTTTTATACAAAACACAAAGCATGGCATTTACATTATAAAAAAACGTAATACAAATTCTGCCGGAGACGGAAATGGTTCTAGAAGTTAACAATAATAATATTAAAGGTTCTGGAATTAAGTATGTAGTTTCCAATAAGATAGATGTAGGTTTTGAGATTGATTTAACCATTACTAACAGTTTACTCATATCGGTTACAATGTCGCATCACTTCAGATGGTTTTGTGAATTTTTCTTCGTTGTAGTCTGCAATTTTTAATGAGTTTGGATTCCTGCACTGCTGGGATGAAAATATTCCTCCGGCCTAAATAAAAAATGTTCGGTCACCAGAGAAAATACACATTTGTGAAAATATCGCAGATTTCTTTTTCGTTTTCTGTGGGTAATTTCTATTAATATATATTTTTAATGCAAATTTAGAGAATTGTCATATTGTCCATATATAACTTGATAGGCAAAAAGGGGCACCTTTTTGATTGAAAGATTGATGCTTTAGGGCTAGTGAATATTAAGAATTTACCAAATATTGGGAAGTAACATTATTGGGGATGTACGAAAAAGCTATACCGATCTAGACAATTATCTGTCACAATTTTGTGTGAGAGTTCCAAATTAACCATAGCTCTCGCACTCACGTATATGTTTCATCTGATTTCATACTTAAGCCTTCCATAATATGATACTATGGCAATAAAAAATAGTAAAAATCTATTTACCCCTCCGATTTCAACTAATCCAATTGCTTCCTTTAAAAATAAAAATTTATAAAACGAAGAAGAATACACTGTAAACGGTTCTCACAGAAGCGTTGTGGAACATTACTTGACTACAAAGCAATTAACATTTTTGGCCATTTCAGGATTTTTCATCGCAATTAAGCTTCATTTTCATAACGATGAAGTGTAAAATCTTTAACAGGTTTAAGAGTGTTAATTTTTTACTTCGGGGAATAATAAAGGGGCAGAAAAAATCTCAATTCGAAGTGCCCCACAATGGCACTTGAATGAAATGCTAACTATAAATTTTTGTATAATTAATAATTAATTAACTCTCAGAGATTTTGAGAAATTAGCATATTTTCAGAGAAGGCTTTCTGTTGACTTTACCATTAAATTCCTTTAGGACATTATCAGGTGTGTGTGCGTCAGGGTTTGTGTTAAGAGGCAGGTGTTTCTGCTCCTGAAGAAAATGAAGAATTAATAGAAGTCAGTTAGTCAGTCAGACGGGAGCAGTAATGAATGGGATGAAAAGTTGGTTTCTTTGTTGTATATAACATTGTTGTGTATCTGAGGCATTTCATACATTCACGCACTCACACACACAAATCGAAACATACAAAATGCAGAGACAATTACAACTACAATAACAGAAGACTAAAGAAAGTAAACATAAATGACAATTGAATGACAGGACATTTCAAAACACAACAATTTCGATACTACTGCCTCTCTTTGCATACATTAGAGGAGAGAGAGCTTAGGTCTGGGGCTTTGTTTCATTGAATGGAAAAACATTGTCAAACGTATCAAACACAACTGCAACCAACAACACTCAACATGGAAAGGCAAAAACAAACTGTCAATAACAAGGAGCAGTTACATTGACAGTAACGACACTGCCTTGCTGACAGAAGACCAAAATAAAATTGATGGTTTAAGGTTACATTCCGCCATGGTAGTGTCACAATTGCGGCTGTTGATGTTGACATCGATGGTGTTTTTTTATGTGGATTTTTTGAAAGATGAGCAACGCTATGTATAAATTCCATCTACATGAGATATGGGATTCATCTCATGATTCCGGAAAAAAAAACTTATGGACCGAAAGTCTGAACCCGGACTTACTAAACCGATAGATTTTTAGGTATAAGTTAAATGCTAATGAAAACTCTTATCCAACAACTGGTCACATGATGGTTTTATTTAAAACAGTTCTTAAGAAGAATCAAAATGATTCGTTTGTTAGGCCTGATTTCTTTTAAAAATCTCCAAAAGCCGGAAAACCCTTTTTTGGCGTGAAAAACAAATGTCAAATTATAGTTGACACCATAATATTTCCGAAATGCTACAATATGTTTTATTATATTTCTTGAATCCAGGGGTATGAGTCTTTGAACCCGTATGAGCCGATTATGTTCAGTACATTGATATGATGTTTTGGACATACTCAGAGTAGAAAATCTTAAGCCCCTCAAAGAGCGTAAAAGTTAGAAAAACTGAACGGAATCGGATTGTCTGGTTTTAAAGACCCGTTTCTGTGGATCCCGGAAAGATCAAAGAAAAATTTTAAAATTTTGGGAAGGTTGGAGTGTAAACTTCAATTATAATAAATAATTTATTGACACCAATAATGGATCCTTTTTTCAATTTACAAATGTAGGTCCAAAAAATAGATAATTTTGTTATAACTGCTTGATCGTTTTAAATTACCCCGTAATGTGGCCACTTTCAAATGATATCTATACTTTCAATATTGGTACAGCCAATACCGGATCTTGGACCCGCATTTTTTGGGTCAAATATACGGGCATCCGGGTCCTTCCCCCAAGATAATAGGGTGCAAAAACCTACCTATAGAAAAAATTAAAAAAAAAACAAGTTAAAAAGCAGTAAGTTCGGCAGGGCCGAACTTTGAACACCTCCCACTATTTGGAATGAATTTGGAAATTTTCAAAAAATAAAATCCTTAAGAATTCTGTTAAAATTTTAAAAATACCGAATATATCCGTTTTATTGGGGTCTACACGACATGGACCTACATAGGCATTGTTTGTCATAAGCCATTACCATATTCAAATTCAAAACTTGAAATAGACGGTGAATAATGCAGCTAAAATCATCAAAATATCGTATATAGGGAGGTACCGTTATATCGGAGCTGAGCGAAGACCTGGGCCAGCATAGACAATTTTCTGTCACAGGCTGTAGCATCCATTACGAACTTCAAATACGACATCTCAAACAATTTTGGTGGGTATTGTACTTAACTCGTACAAACGCTAAAATCATCAAAATACCGAATATCGGGAGGTACCGTTATATGGGGGCTATACGAAGACGTGAGCCTGCACAGACGATTTTCTGTCTTAGGCTGTAGTATCCATTTCGAACTTCAAATACCAAATTTGAAACAATTCCGCTTAATAATGTCGCTAAGATCATCAAAATACCGAATATCGGGAGGTATCGTTATATAGGGGCTATATGAAAACGTGGACCAACATGGCCCATTTACGAACTTAACCTACTGGAAAAATAAACATGTGTGCAAAATTTTAGCCTTCTATCTCAATTCGTTCGAAAGATAGCGTAATTACAACAGGCAGACGGACAGACAGAAGAACATCGCCAAATCGACTTAGAATTTTACGCTGATCAAGAATATATATAGTACTTTGTTGGGTCTGATAGGAGTATCTCGAGGAGTTACAAATGGAATGACAAAGTTAATATACCCTACATAGTATGGTGGAGGGTATAATATTTGAGAGATTTTCATAACCTGGAATTTTTTCAATATTTGTTGCTTTCATAGGTTGCGTATGAGTTATATCGAGAATTCGCAACACATATACGTCGGCTTATTTTTGTATGTAACAGACAAAAGAGTCACATACTCTGTTCTGGAACCTGCAAGAATCTACTAGTTTCTTATTTTTTTTCGATATTAAAAAAATTCGGTTATCGTTGTAAAAGGTTTTTAATTCTTGCAGTACTGGAACGAAGTAACAATTTTTTTCTTGACATACATTGAAGGTGTGAAGTTGTGGATGGAATGTGACTAGTTTTGGACACAGAGATGGTGTCTGATCTAATTAGAGATTCTCTCCAAGCAGATGACGTTTAAGTCGTCTTAGCGTTTTGGTTGAAAAAAAGATGCAGGTGAATCATATCTTAATTGAGGAAGATGACTATAATATTCGGCATCTGAGTGTTCAAGGTAGTTCAACTTTGTAACATATATAATTTGAATAAAGAGCATTCCATCTGTATATTCGTATCAAATATATACAAAAAATCGCGGAAATATGACTAAATGCTGACAGCTTTCAAAACTTAAAAAAACAATATTTTTTAAATTATCAAATAGAGACCAAAACTTTCAAAGTAGCCAGTATATTTTGGAAGTGGCTTTATTTTAAAAGATCTTGTAATTAGCATATGTCCAAAAATTATGATTGATTTAAGTGAATCGTGCATCATAAAATGTTTGAAATTAAAATCAATTTTTGTATATGGTACAAAAATGGTCAAAGTCCGTAACTAAAGGTTTAGGCAAGGTAAAATTAAGATGGTAAATTAATTTGACAACTCATTGTCGAAATGTATATTTATAAATCCATTATATTTACACAAATCAGAGACAGGTACCAGTTTTCTATACAATGCAATTTTGGCAAGAAAAAACAGAGATGGGTATGCAAATTTAAAATGACTTTACCTTCTTCATTTTACCATGGGTTTAGCTCTCATACATGTACGTTTCATACACAAAGCCTCCAAACAAACGTATATTTCTTACAGAAAGTGACTCCGTTATATATCTAGAGTATTGTTGGGTAGCATATAGTCTTCCCTGACCTTCTTATGTCCTTTCTTTTCATTGTTTAATTTGTGTTTTGGTAGTTTGAGGGAAAGGGTGATTTTGTGTTCAACAAATATTGTTTTGAAAAAGAACACGCAGTAGGGTTCAACTGCGAAACATGTAACCTCACTATATTTCGAGAAATCGAAGATTTAGTTATTTTCGATAATACGTTTTGGTTATTTTCGGTAATAAGGTAATTCAAAAATAATTTCGGTAATTCGGAAATAATTTTGTATTTTAACATAAACTGAGTTCAAACAAGTTCAATAGTATCAGACGGACAGATGGTGCTCTCCAGGCTTGCGTTAAATTATTCAAACAGTTGACCTTTATGGGGGAAGTTCCGAAGAAGTGGGCCCATATTGTTCATTTCATATTTGACCTAAATCTGATATAAATGTTACAATGTACTACATTTGGACTATGCTACGACGACTTTCTTCACATTTTATGAGAAATGTGATAACTTTTGGAAAATGTTGAAATATGCGTGAGGTACCATATATAGTCGACCGAAGTATTCCACTTCATCTAATATTGATAAAAATCAAGCATTTCAAACATCAAACATTTATTTTCAATTTTATGCGAATCTTCACACCAGATTTGGTAGAAAAAATGAAATGCACGAAGTTTAGAAAAAATCAGCTGCTTATTTCGCATTTTCCGAGAGAGAAAATTTTAACCAGCTGTGAGGGAGGTATAAGAAAAAGTGTCCGATAAACAGGGTGAAATGTAAAAACTGCAACCAACTTCAGGCTGCTGTCATTTCTAAGCCACTCGTCCGACAGCTGTTAAAATTATTCCAGTGACAACTCATTATATTGTTTACAAGCGAACAAAGCATTTTGGTGAGAATTTTCCAGGAAAAAAGTTATTCGTGATGGAATTCACGCGTGATAGTGTGATTTCTTTATATTTGGCTGGAAAACCACAAGTGGCTATCGTAAGAGCACTCCAACATTTAAATGCGAATAAATCTTTTGTGTCTCGTACCATCGCTCGTTACCGTAATACTGGTAGTGTAGTCCGACGTCAAGGAAGTGGACGGACGAAAACAGCAACATCAGTAGAAATGGTCCGAAAACTAAAGAAGCGACCGAAAAATGGCTCTTGAGCTGAACATATCGTAATATTCCATTCGGAAAATATTGAAAAATGAGCTCGGGGTAAAGCCATTAAAATTCGATAAGTTCAAGAACGTACACCGCAACAGAAAGAAAATAGATTCAAAAGAGCAAAAGAGTTGCTTCGCTTGGCCGAAAGTGGTGAATTGCCGAATTTGGTTTTCTCCGATGAGAAAACATTCGTTGTCCAACAGTTTGTAAACGAACAAAATGATCGTGTTTACTTGCCAAAGAGGTAGGCTTAAAATGTGCACCTTCCGTTGGCCACCAGAACTCAAGCGCCGGTCACGGTGATTGTATGGGCCGCCATAACAGCCGATGGTCGCTCTCCGCTCATATTAATCGACCAGGCCAATGGCCACCAAAATCACCGGATACCAATCCGTTGAACTATTGTGTCTGGAGTATTTTGGAAAGCAAAGTTGGCACTAAAAAATTCGCCGGGAAGGGGCCAAAATACCGCAGAGCAACATTTGGGCAGCGAGTGACGGTTGCATTGGCCGTTTGAAGGCCATAATTCGTGCCAAAGGTGACCAATTAGAAAAAATTTAAACTTATTCTAAAATTTGATGTTATTTCCAAAATTGTTTGCTTTCATTAAAAAAAAAATTAAAAAGAAATGTAAAAATTATGGCGTTTGACTTTGTTGCAGTTTTTTTTATCTCACCCTGTATTTCATACCAGTTTTTGTGTTGGATAAAATATTGAGATTTGCATTTAATGGCAGTTATAATTATTCAAATGTTGAGCCTTTTGTTAGGAGGTACCAGAAGAAGTAGGCGGATCCATCTCCCTACTAAATTTTGAGTTGTTAGAAATATTAGGATGTGCGACATTTGAAAATAATCGGTTGCTGATTTCTTAGTTTATGAGCGAAATGGTTAGTCAATTTTCGAACCATTGTAGAGTAGATACTAGAAGGAGTGGCCCGTTTTATACGTCCGTTTATTGGGATGTGTTTAACTTGAAAACCATGGGACTCTTATTTCACATTTTATAAGAGATGTTGACCCTCTGTGGGGGAGGTATCCCATCTCTACACTACGTTTTGTTTTGATAAAAATGTTGAGATGTGCGAAACGGACTCTTAGTTCACATTTTATAAGAGTTATAATTATTCTAAATTTGACCCTTTGTGGGGAAGGTATTTGATGGAGTGGGCCGATGTATTCCATTTTCGCACCTGACCTAACATTAATAAACATTAGGACTTTTAAAGTTTTCTCAAAATTGGGCGATCTTTTCTTGTTCTGTAAGGTTAATTCTCTTCTGTGAAAATTTTGACTTTTGTGGGGGAGATACAAGAAGGAGTAAACCAATATTGCCCATATCCGAACTTGATCTGAGTTTGATAATAATATAACCATGTGCCATGTTTGAACTCTCAACAGGGAGTTGATGTTATATTGAGGCCTAGATGTGGATATCTGTCAATTTTCTGTCACAGGCTGTCATATCCATTACAAACTTACAATAGGATGTCTGAAACAATTTCGGTAGATAATGTCGCTAAAATCATCAAAATACCGAACATGGGGAGGTACCATGATATGGGGATTATACGCTGTAGTACTCAGTAGGAACATCTAATGCCAAATTTGAAATATTTTCTTTGAACAGTGTGACACATATTATTAAAAAAATACTGAATGTCTGCAGGTACGACTATGGCGACTGTATCAAAATTTAGACCTGCATTGACACTTCTATGAAAGGATATAGAACACATACTCACAGCAAATTCCGTTTAAACTTGTGACTAAAACACTCGAAAACACTTAAATCTGTCGGTATAGTTACATGGGAGATATACCAAAACGTGGACCCATATAGCCCATTTTCAATACCAAAAGTCTTGTAGACCTAACACACATCTGAGTAAAGTTTTTTTTAACATTCTTTATTTCGTTCTGAAGCTAGAGCGAGACGGACAGAAGGATGAACATCGCTAAATAGACAATCAATATATATCGGATAGTTACAAACGGAATGAAAAACTTAATACAATCTCCTTAGTATGGTGGAGGGTATAACAACGGACACTGGTTATTTTGATATAATGCGTGTGATTAGAAGGCTTGAAGGATGAACTCAGCCTTGCTCAAGTAACGGTACAACTCGATTCTGTAACTTTTCTTATGTCGAAAGGTAAAAAGTCGTGCTATACTAGTTCGAAGTATGAATTCTAGTCTTAGAGAGTCACACCATTATGAAACAATGGAGCTAATGAGACAATCTCATATTTTTAATGAAATCTACTACGCCTGTGTTACATTGTCCTATTGTTTATCATATGACAATATCCATTCCTTTCAAAGATGACCACAATTTCAGGAATAATCCAGATTAATGCAAGTAAAAGATAATCATTGACGGATTACCTCAATTTAGAGTTCCCAATTTACTCTCAACAAACCTATAAACAAAAGCACACACACACACGCACCACATAAAATATGTGTATATTCAAAACAAATCATTATGTTTTATCATCGATAAACATCACCAAGAGAAGCCTATGTCAATAACAGTGTGATGGAAAACATGCCTACTCGGACAGAAAAAGGAAAATAACGGACTCTGTAAACATAACTAACATTAATGTTTGGTAAAGGAAAATAACACAAAACAAAAACTTAGGAGTGCGAGAGAGAGAGCGAAATTGACAGTGATGTATACGACGTTTGGTGCCAATGTCAATTTGTGTTTGTAAACAGAGAGTGAATATTCGATACTGCCGTTGTTGGGATGTTGACAATTGTGGAAATAAAAAGTTACCGTTGCACACACATTCGATCTGACAGTCTGTCTGTGACAGTTGAGGTTAGCAGTTGTTAAACTTAAACAGGAGAACGAAATACGCGTTTAAATCAAGAAAAATTCTAAAACAAATCTGAAAACAAGAAGAAGCATTGAATTGTTTAAGTAATTGTTGTCCAACGAAGATATAAAAAAAGGCTAAAGAAGTTAAATCCCAATTCGGCCAAGATACGTAAGATTTTCTTTATGAAAATTTCATTAGAGCTCTTTAAATAAGAATAGGGGAGAAAATCAATACTCGTGGCTTGTGCAGTTGGAATTTCTTTAGTGTGGTGTAGACAACAAAAAAAGACCGAAAAATCAATCGAAAACCATCAAAAAGCACAACAGAAAAAAATTGTTACATAAATCCGTGCTGATTTTTTTCGTGTGTGTCTTATTTTTTGAATTGTGTTCATGCAAAAATTTCTTGAAATTGTCATTGTGTGACGCTATTCTGGTTTTGCCCATCACTCGCGCTCTCTCCCTCTCTCGCTTTCAGTCTCTTCATCGGGTATTAAGTGCGCGTGTTCTTGGTTTTTGTTTTCTTTCCATTAAGCCATCACAAATGCTTTGTCATTCGCTCTCTTACTCACCATTCGCCACGAAAATCGCTTGTCAATGTTGAGTTGAATGAGAGGCCCAGAGATGCGCAAGCTCTTGAAATCCTTTAAGTGTCAATTATCAAACATTTACAGCTGTTAGGAAACAACAACAACAACAACTATTGCAACAAACAGTTTTGACGTGGAAAACAACTACAACATTTGCACAGTTTTCAAATAACGGTATACGCGAACATATGCAAACGGCAGGAATTAAGCTAACGAGAAACTAGCAATCGTCCGACCGACCAACCGACCGACCGAGCAATCGACATTTCGTTTAAAATTTCAAAGTCAAAATTTGGGTGTCAATTTTTGGAGACAAATACCTTTGCATTTCGGAAAACCAAAATTCAAAAAGAAAGAAAATTGAGAATTGAGTTTTGAAAGAAATTTGTCAATTATTGCTGAAAAGCCCAAAATTCGGCGAGAAAATAAGTGATTCTTATCGTGAATTTGTCAAGGGAATTTCTGTGAAAAAAAATTATATTTTATTTCCATTCTCCATCATCTTCAAAAGGAAAGAGAATATCGCTGTGAAAAAGTAATAATCTTGAAAAATATTGAAGATTTTTTCACGTAAATTCAAGAGGAGGAATCCAATCGTTAAATCAACCCAGCTAAGGCCAGAATAAAACGCAACTCAACCACCTGAATTTGGATACTTTCTACGGCGCTTAGCACGACTCTACTAAACAATGTAAGTTCTTTACTTGATTTATTTTCCAATTGTTTTGCATTTGTATTCACTCTTTATCGATGTTGGGAGGTGGTGACAGGCTGCTTAACTAGCTATCGGCAAGCCACCAAAGTCACATTCTAAGGATTTTGACCTTTTTTTGGTGGTGTGTGTCAAAACTTGTAAGTTAACTTGCCGACCGTATCGACTTGCGAATTTTAACTAAAAAACAGAAGATTGAGAGAAAACGTGCAAGTGGTACATGCATAGTAAAAATGGAAAAGAAGGGTCATTAGAGGAATCTTAAAGAATAAGATTGTGCTTTATCCTGTCTGAAAAAAAGAATTAGAAAATTTCTTACAATGGGGATGATATATGTCATGCCAAGAATGTCAACAAAAAGATTTATTCAGAATAAATTTTGAATATTTTTATATCTTAAGAAAGTCTTTATTTATGTCTTAATTTACGTTTTTTCTCCTAGAAAGTATTTTTCCCCAGGCATCCTCTTATTACTTAAAAAATAAAATTGTTATTTCAGTAAAAGTATTGACATTTAGAAAGAAATAAGTCACAGGAGCCTAATTTCACTTAGTTCTGTTACGACAAGGATTGAGCCGATAAATTCCATATTTACATCAGATGTCTGGTTGAGAGAAATAGTTAGATATACCAACTATCGAAAGTTATGAGAGATATACATGGCTACAGAGGGTATACATCATTTGATACGGCCTAGGTCTTTTTGGATCATATCCGTTTCAGAACATTTGGAGTCGATCTAGCGATGTCCGTCCGCCCGTCCGTCCATCTGTCTGGCTGGTGCGCACTATAACTCTCGAAGGGAGTATCCCATTTGGTCCAAACTTGGTACATCGTAATATTATTGTCAAACTTGAACAAGTTCCGAGATGGGCAATATCGGCCCACTCCGTAAAATGTGATGTAAGAGTCCGATTTTCTTACCATATTTCTATTAACCCATTCTGGTGTGAAGATGGAATATATCGGTCCTCTCCTTTTGGTACATCCCCCACAAAATTTTGAATATTCCTGAATCCCATAAAATGCGAAAATAACACCCGATTCCATTCAAACTTGGTACATCTCAATATCTGTTATGAAGATGGTACAGATCGAACCATTTCTTCTGTTACCTCTCACACATACACGGTGAGATAAAAAAACTGAAACAAAGACAAAAGCCATAATATTTATATTTTTATACCCTCCACCATACTATGGAGGGTATATTAACTTTGTCATGCCGTTTGTAACTCCTCGAAATACTCATGTCAGACCCAACAAAGTATATATATTCTTGATCAGCGTAAAATTCTAAGTTGATTTAGCTGTCTGTCTGTCTGTTGTAATCTTTCGAACAAATTGAGATAGAAGGCTAAAATTTGCACACATTTATATTTTGCCAGTAGGCAGGTTAATTTCGTAAATGGGCCATGTAGGTCCAAGTTATTATATAGCCCCCATATAACGGTATATCCCTATATTTGGTATTTTGATAATTTTAGCGACATTATTCACCGGAATTGTTTCAACTTTGGTATTTGAAGTTTGAAATGGATACTACAGCATATGACAGAAAATTATCTGGGCAGGTCCACGTCTTCGTATAGCCCCCAAATAACGGTACCTCCCAAAATTCGGTATTTTGATGATTTTAGCGCTATTATTCACCGGAATTGTTTCAAATTACGTATTTAGAGTTCGTAATGAGAACTACAGTCTGTGACAGAAAAATGTCTATGCTGGTCCAGGTCTTCGTATGGTCCCCATATATCTGTACCTCCCTATATATTATTCAGTATTTTGACGAGTTTAAGTGCAATACCCACCGAAATTGTTTGAGACATCGTATTTGACGTTAGTAATGGATGATATAGCCTGTGACAGAAAATTGTCTATGCTGGTCCAGGTCTTCGCACAGCTCCGATATAATGGTACCTCCGTATATACGATATTTTGATGATTTTAGCTACATTATTCACCGTTTATTTCAAGTTTCGAATTTGAATATGGTAATGGCTAATGGCAAACAATGCCCTATAGGTCCAACCCATAATAACGGCAATATTCGGTATTTTTAAAATTTAACAGAATTTTTTAAGGATTTTATTTTTTTTTAATTTTCCAAATTCGTTCCAAATGGTGGAGGGTATTCAAAGTTCGGCCCGGCCGAACTTACTGCTTTTTAACTTGTTTTTTGTTTTAAATTTTATTGAATGAAAGCAAAAAATGTCGAAAATATCATCAAGTTTTAGAATAAGTTTAGATTTGTTCGAATTGGTCACCTTTGACACGAATTATGTCCTTCAAAAGGCCAAAGAAACCGTCACACGCTGCCCGAATTTTGCTCTGCGGTATTTTGGCTCATTTCCGGCGAAGCGCTTGTTTGAGGTGATCGATACTTTGGTATTTTTTAGTGCCAACCTTGCTTTCCTAAAATACTCCAGACACAATGGTACACAGGATTGGTATTCGGAGATTTTGGTGCACATTGTGCACTGGAAACAAAGTGAGGAACCTCATTTTGTAACCCATCTATGGTGTCGCGTGCTGGGTGTGATGGTGCTGAGTCCGTTGTAATGTCCAAGGTCTGCGGACCAACTGTTTGCGTGCCCAAGGCTTTAATACACCCTCCAGAATATTTTCGCGAAAATATTCGGCATTTATTTTGATGCCATGGTCGATTAATACGAGCGGAGAGCGACCATCGGCTGTTATGGCGGCTCACACCACCACCATGGCCGGCACTTGAGTTCTTGTGGCCAACAGAAGGAGCACATTTTCAGCTGACCTCTTTGGCAAGTAAACACGATCATTTTGTTTATTTACAAACTGCTGGACAACGAATGTTTTCTCATGGGAGAAAGCCAAATTCGGCAGTTCACCACTTTCGGCCAAACGAAACAACTCTTTAGCTCTTTTGAGTCTATTTTCTTTCTGTTGCGGTGTAAGTTCTTGCACTTTTTGGAATTTAAATGGCTTTACCCCGAGCTCATTTTTCAATATTTGCCGAATGGAATATTGCGAGCCATTTTTCATCCACTCCGACGCGGATTTCGATCAGGTCGCTACTTTACTTTTAGAACCATTTCTGCTGATGTTGCTGTTTTCTTCTGTCCACTTCCTTGACGTCGGGCTACGCTACCAGTATCACGGTAACGAGCGATGGTACGAGGCACAAAAGATTTATTCACATTTAAATGCTGGAGTGCTCTAACGATAGCCTCTTGTGGTTTTCCAGCCGAATATTTATAAATCACACTATCACGCTTGAATTCCATCGCGAATAATTTTTTTCTCGAAAATTCTCACCAAAATGCTTTGTACGCTTGTAAACAATGTAATGAGCTATCACTGGAATAATTTTAACATCTGTCGGACGAGTGGCTTAGACAGCAGTCTGAAGTTGGTCGCAGTTTTTTCATCTCAACCTGTATCTTACGGCGAGCTTTTCAAAAATATGCAGAATATATATATTAGTCAGCTCCGTCCGCCTGTTTTCCTTTCCTTACTGGCAACTCATAGAAATCGATCTGGCCATTATTAGCCCGTTTCCCCTTTTCCGTTCTTAAACTAAGTAACAAAATCATTCATAGACAGGTATTAGTGTTGTCTGGAATTATTGCCGCTTATTCAATTCTTCTATTCATTGTTTTGGATAATTGGACTATTGTTTTTAGTATTTTTTGTTTGTTCATAGTTGCAATAAATTTTGCAATATTTGTTGTTTTTGTAGGCCTATGAACCAAAGCCATGGCTCGAAATCCTTGAAATTTTAAATTAACCACTGGGACTGGGAGGATAAAAAAACGAATCGACCATTGTTTTGCCTGGCTTTATTGTTGTTTGCTGGCTAGTCAACCGCAAAAAACAACAACATCAACAGCAACTAATGATAGTTAGCAATACTAACAACAACAACAACAGCAGCAACAACGACATAACAATGGAAAGTAAAAATATCCTTGTGGTTAGTAAATTGTGGCCCATTGTTCGTCCGGTGATGACATTGAAAAATTGTAAATTTTCTGACCACCAAGGTTCTTCCTCTATCCTGTTGTAGTTGTTATTGTCGTTCAGTTGGTCGTGGGAGTCTTTCTTACGGTTTGTTGGTCAGCCAGGCAGCAGTTGCTCCTTCGAAGGTTGAATGTTAACGCTTTTCTTTGTCTTCGCCATTAAATGACGATTAATATTCTCGCCTTTTGTTACAGTTATATTGCTAAAACTTTGTAATTTATTATACACTCACTCACTCACACACGCACACAGGCAGACTCTCTTTGTTACATACCTCTGGGCTGCTATGCGTTTTGATGCCAAGGGAGTCGTATTATGTGAATCTTTTCCAGATGCTTCTCGAGTTTGACGCCCACGCACATTTTGACAAAAATCTACAAAACTCTTGAGCCCATCCTCCTCCGGCTCTGATCTGAAGTGGGGGTATATTTATTCGCAAAGTATTCGGCTTTATAGCTGGCTTACTTTGTCTTTCGTCTCAATGTGGCCGTGGCAATTTATATCCTTTTTTTGTTGGCTGCTAACATTCAGCAGTAGCTGTTTAAACATAACTTGATGAATTGATTTAGGGATACAATGTAAATATGTAACAAAGAGGAGGAGGAGGTGGAGGAACAAGAGGAAAGAGCAAGTTATAGCCAAGTATATTTTATGGTTAATAGAATATTGCACTCGATGTGTTTTGGGTAAAAAAAAGTGAGGTTGTGGGGGCCGAAAAAATTAATATTATTCTATTTTTGAAGTTTTTGGGGCAATTGAAAAAAAAAAAAAAAAAAATATATATATATATATATATATATATATATATATATATATATATATATATATTTGATTCAAAATTTGATTAGCTAATAAATTATGAACTTAAAATGTGAAGTTTCGAGCAAATCTGTTGCAAAACTGTGGCATACTATCAAAACCGCGATTTTTGAGAGATACAGTTATTGCACCCTACTGAAAATTTTTTATTCAGAGAGATA